ACTTGGGTGTGCCATACTGTTTGAAGCTCGAAAATTGAGCTGGCTCTAAAAAATAAGGACTCGGTATTTAGGATGTATTTGATATGGAGAGCTTGTGGACTCACACTTGAGGAAAGAGATTGTTAGGTTATCTAAGTGTGAGTGGACATAAGACGATATGGGAAGTCCCATATAGGATAAAGTTGGACTTAATAACTAGTATATAATAAAGAGGAAGGACCCATAAACTTGAGCCTTAAGGCTTTAAGTTAAGATGTGACGTCCTTCTATTGTTCTTGGCCGTCTATCCTCACCTCCCTTTCCCTGACGGCCGGTCCTTATTCCTAACATGAACAAAGAAAATAGTAGTATAAATAAAACCAAAATTAATCGTCTCTCTTTGCCCTATAAATAGGATTAGAGGAGTATAGGATTGGATCTGTGCTTTGATTTACTAGGATACAAATAGAGGCCCCGTATAATCAAACATCACAATGAAATTGGGTAATTAGTGTTCCTTAATCACTTATGTAAGACATTGCATAATTAATTTAAGGAATGTGTTATAAGTGATTCAATAGACATAATGAGACTCTAGATTAACCAACTAGCATCGAGTGAATTAAAGTATTTAACTTGGTGGATATAAAATCTATGACATTATAAATAAGGGATTAGAAGCTTGGTTAAGGTCATAATTAAGTTGTCTCAATGTAAGTTGAATCGAAGTGGAAAATCCTATATTAGATAAAGCTTAATAACTAATATAAAATAAAGAAAAATGGCTTAATAACTAATGTAAAATCCTATATGGTGTTCTGCCATATAGCGCCAAGTTTAACCAATGAGCTAGCTTCTTGAATATTGTAGTTATTTAAGGCCTAATTATCAATTTACATGATTCTCTATGAAACATACTCACACATTAATTCGCCCAAAAGAAAAAGGAAAAATAAAATAAAAAAGACAAAGAAAAGCTCAACAGAAGAAAAAGAGAATAAAATAAACTATATATGAACATGCGCATCACACACACATTTTTTTACCCGGAGAATTAAAAAAGAAAAGGAAAATAAAAAAAGAAAGAAAAGCACAATAGAAGAAAAAGAGAATAAAATAAGCTATCAACATGAAGATTGGTGTGGCTTCAGGCTCAAATTAAGCAAAGAATACTTGAAGTCGGCTTGATAACTATATATATGTGTACATATTATTGCATAGAATTGGTAAAGAACTTGGTTGACAAGTTTAATGATTGGTGCTATTTTCCCTTAAGTTTCCTGAAGATGAAAGTATCAGGTTAGTTATCTCATTATTTTATTTACCCATCCCTTTTTCTTATATATGCTAGTTAATTTTTGAATTCTATTATAACTTAGTCTATCTGCAGTAGTTCTCTTCAAGTTCCTCAAGATCACTCAAACCATCATCAAGTTAATTAAATTTCTACAATCTTTTTCTTTAATGATGATTTCTTATCATGCATGCATGTCTTCTAATTCCTGCAATTAATTTGTGTTATTATATGTTTATTTTTAAATTCAATTTTGGTTTATTCTTTTATTTTGTCTCCTATATATAACTAAAATCAAGAGGAAAAATATATTTTTTCTTGAAGAAGTGAAGAAAAAGAGGTATTAAGCTCATATCACTACAAAAAAAAATGACTTTCAGCGGTGACTCTAAAAAGTCGCTGCTGATTCTCAACTTTCAACGGCGACAATAAAAGTCGCCACAGAAATAGTGACTTTCTGCGGATAAGATATAGGCTGATTATCAGACTTTCAGCAGCGACAAGTGCATGTCGCCACAGGAAGTCACACTTTCAGCGGTGACCTTTACTGTCGTCGCTGAAAGTTGAGAATCATCAGTGACTTTTTAATGTCGCCGCTGATTGTCAACATATTTTAAAATATGTTATAATTTTTTAAAAAACTTATGTTGTAAGCTTCAACGGCAACTTGTAAGTTGAGAATCAGCGGCAACTTTTTAATGTCATCGCTGATTGTCAACATATTTTAAAATATGTTATAATTTTTTTAAAAAAACTTATGTTGTAAGCTTTAGCGGCCACTTGTAAGTTCAGAATCAGCGGCGACTTTTTAATGTCGCTGCTGATTGTCAACATATTTTAAAATATATTATAATTTTTTAAAAAAACTTATGTTGTAAGCTTCAGCGGCAACTTGTAAGTTGAGAATCAGCGGTGACTTTTTAATGTCGCCGCTGATTGTCAACATATTTTAAAATATGTTATAATTTTTTTAAAAAACTTATGTTGTAAGCTTCAATGGCGACTTGTAAGTTGAGAATCAGTGACGACTTTTTAATATTGCTGCTGATTGTCAACATATTTTAAAATATATTATAATTTTTTAAAAAACTTATGTTGTAAGCTTCAGTGGCAACTTGTAAGTTGAGAGTCAGCAGTGACTTTTTAATGTCGCTGTTGATTGTTAACATATTTTAAAATATATTATAATTTTTTTTAAAAAGTTATGTTGTAAGCTTCAGCGGCGACTTGTAAGTTGAGAATCAGTGGCGACTTTTTAATGTCGCTGCTGATTGTCAACATATTTTAAAATATGTTATAATTTTTTTAAAAAAACTTATGTTGTAAGTTTCAGCGGCGTCATACAAGTCGCCGCTGAAAGGTGAGAATCAGCGACGACTTTTTAGTGTCACCGCTAATTGTCAACATATTTTAAAATATGTTATAATTTTTTTAAAAAAACTTATGTTGTAAGTTTTAGCGGTAACATACAAGTCTCAGCTGAAAATGAGACTTTTAGCGGCAACTTTGAATGTCGTTGCTGAAGGTTTGACTTTGTATTATCAACATAATTTTTTATTTTTACTTATCTAATATTTAACATTTTAAGACATTAATTTTGTTGTATTATTTTAATTTTATAATGAATATATAAAATAACATAATGAGTTTTCATTTAATATATTCTATGATTAAATTGTAACTTTAATATAAGGTTAAGGTATTATTTAATGCTAATGAGCTAAAGTAAAAAATTAAGCCAAACTGTATTATTTTACGTGTGTGTTTGTATTAAAAAATTTACAACTAAGGTTAAGATTCAATCGAAGTTAGCAAACTAAGGTTAGAAGAAAAGTCAGTAAATGTAATATGATTTATGTTTGGATATGTTTTTTTAGAAGTCTGTTAGATAAACTGAAATTTGTTTGGATAATTTTATTCAAAAGTCAGTTGAGATGTTTAATGGCCAAAATAAGTATGAAATTTTTAATATATATTTTTTGACTAATTAATAACTAAAACAAATTAAATTTAAAATTATAACTAATAAGTAAAAAATCTTAAATATTCAAGATAGAAGAGAAGAGAGAGAAAGCATAAGTCATCAGATCAATGTAAAAGTCAATAACACTACTTGTTTATAATAATTAAACGTGTGATACTTAAATTTATTCATTCATAGAATAATATTTTATCTAATCTAATTTTTTAATTTAAGTTTTACATTTAACATCAGTAACTTTAAAGCTTGATGCTAGTTTAGAAATATAAATAATTATAAACTAATGTATAATCATCAGTATTTTTACTATTTATTCTTAGATATTTTTTATATTATAATTATAAATATGAATATTAAAATAAATAATATAACAACCTCAAGAAGTAAAAAAAAATTAAAATAAATAATACAAATGATATTGTATCAATTATATTTATAGTTTACTTTAAAGAAAATAAATAATATAATTTGTAATTCTATAAATTAAAAGAATTAAATTGAAGTATTTAAGGATAGTAATGATATTTTATAATATTTAATATTTAATATATATGTGTGTTTGTATAGTTTAATAATATGTGTATATATATATATATTTAATTATGTAATAATAAACTACAGGTTCATTCCAACTCAGTGATAAAATGGTTGGACACAAAAGGAGGAGGTCATGGGTTCAAACCTTGAAGGAGACAACTTTCAAAATAAAAATAAAAATTGGTGATATGATGACACGTGGCGTGTGGTGAGAGTGACACATGGAGAGTGACATGGTGCCACGTGGCGTGAGGTGGGCGCCACGTGGACGGTGATGTGGTGCCATGTGTGTAAGTGAATCAACATTACTTTTTGTCGCCGCTAATTGATAGCTTCTGTGGCGACAAATGTCGCCATTGATACTTAACATTCAGTGGTGACAAAATAGTCGCTACTGATATGTGGTTTTTGCAGCGACAAAATATCATCGTCGATTTTCAACTTTCAGTGGTGACTATCGTTTGACTGCGACAAATTTTCTTTTCTGCGGCGACATTTGTCATCGCCGATTCTCAACTCTCAACGACGACTTTTATTATCGCCGCATATTGAACCAGCGACAAGAGCTCGCGGCGACATTATGGCGACTTTTTATCGTTTAGCAGTGACTTTTTGACTTTCAACAGTGACAAATGTTGCCATTGAAAATCAATTTTTTTGTAGTGTATATTATTTTCCTCAGTTTTCTATTAAAAAAAATAAGGACGAAAATATATTGCGTCAAAATAGAAGACAAAAAGATAGCACACAACCTGCACCATTTTTTATGAGTATATATTTCATTACGAAATTAGTCTGTTTTCTTTCTTTACATGTCTTCGATCTCATGTTCATTCAAAGACAAAAATAGAAAATATATATTTTCTTTCCACTTTTTGTTTGCTCAATTTTGTCTTCAAAAAAAAAAAAAAAGAAAAGAAAGCAATCATGTGAGATTCAATTTTTTCTCCCCAAAAGTTTAGTTCAAGCAATGTAAACAATGCCTTTCCTTCTATACATATTGTGGCAAGCTCTTGCAGTTTAAAAGAATCGAGTTACGAGAAAGTGGTTCAGTGGACAGAAAATCTGAAAAAATAGAGTCGTTAAATCGTCTAAAAGCCAAGTTAGAAAAAATAGACTCCATGCGGCTTCCCTCAGCACCAGGTTTTTGCATCTACAGAGTGCCACTGGTTTATTCGCAAAATTAATGAAGCAGCCTACACTCCTAACATGGTTTCCGTTGGTCCCTTTCACCATGGAAACCAAAGATTGGAATCAATGCAAGAGCTCAAACTACGGTACCTCAACGAATTTCTGAAGAGGACTCATGAGCTGAAATCTTTAGATGATTATTTTGATGCCGTGAGAGGTTGGGAAGGTCAAATCCGTGGCTGCTATTCGGAGTCAATACATATGGAGAGTGATGAATCTTTAAGCATGATTCTAACTGATGCTTGCTTCATCATTGAATTGTTTGTTGCATCCTTTCTAGAGTTTGAGCTTGAAACAACTGAAGATCAACCTTTGTTGACGAAACGATGGCCAAGAGATGATATAACGAGGCACTTGATTTTACTTGAAAATCAAATACATTCTTTGTTCTTGAGGGTCAATTCAATCTAGCTTTTCCTCATGGCTTAAACGACGAAATCTCGTTTCACGAGCTACCTACGAAAATTTTTGTTTTTCCTTCCTGCCAGGTATATATCCTAAAAAGAATGAAATGTTTTAAAACCTTACCTCATCATATAGTTATTTTGAAGAACATCAATTGACAGTACCTTATGGTGTAGGTTGCAAGTGGAACACCTGCGTGATATGTTAGGGGCCTTTTACGTGCCAAGTATTAATCCTCCAACAAGATCAAGAGATACAAATGCGATGGTCAAGTGTCCGTATACTACAAATCAACTGCATGAGGCACGACTCAAATTTGAAGCTGATCAAAGCAAAGGTATATTTCAATTGGAATATTCAAATGGAGTCGTCAAAATGCCAATCATTGGGTATAATGGCTTGACTGAAATTATGCTGAGAAATTTGGTTGGTTTGGAGCAGTGTCATCACCCTTTGATGAGGAATTTCATTCCTGATCACATAGATCTCTTGAATGATCTTATCAGCACAGGAAAGGATGTGGAAATTCTTATTGAAAAAGGAATCATAGAGTGCTTTTCATGAGACAATGAGAACGCGGCCATCATAGTTAACGAACTCGGCAGATATATTTATAATGAAGGCATGAACACTAATTATAGCGACGTATATTTAAATTTGAATGAATTTTATAACAACACTTATCACAAGTTTATGCCCATCTTTATACGTGAATATTGGAGCACTCCTTGGAAAAGGATAAATTTGTTTGGGGAATTGTACTACGTTTGCTCACTTTGATCCAGACAGTATGTTCTATCGTCTCCTTGTTTAAGAAGTACGTAGCTTAATATCTCTGGTATAACTTTCAAGTCTTTGTTAAATTTAGTAGACTGTTTTCTCTGAAAATTAAGCTCTATTTGATGGATGCCACTTTTCTTTTTCTTTCGCCTGTATTATCTATTTTGATGGATCATTTGTGTTGTATACCACAAGGAATGCTCCGCGGCTAATCTTTTCAAAGGATTGAATTCCTCTTCAGCAAAGTTCCAAAAGAAATTTAAATGAGCTAGTAAGATCAAGTTGAAGTGAAAATAGAAATTGTTCTCATAGTTGTATATAATTCACAGATTTATAGTTCCTTAGAAATAGAAGCAAAATGAAAGATGGAATAAAGTTTTCCAGAAGAAATAAATGTAATAACCCAGGTTATATTTATACAATAAGATAAATTTAATTATATTTTATTAGTTGTTGGGAGCAAAAGTATTTGAGCTGCTGATAACACAGTGGAATTCTTCTTGCCCTTATTAATCAGGTCAGGTGTTCGAATCCCATGGTGTACAAGAAAAAGACTGTTTTTATTTTGTCTTACCGTGTGAAATTACCACTTACACCCCTCTGCAAATAAAAAAAAGAGAAAAGAAACAGAGACAGATTAGAGAATAAAACGCACGGTGCACTCTTTCCCTATCATTCTTCAAAAGATCCAGATCCAGCTGAGAGGAGAGGGAGATTCGGACAGCAGCTTCTGCCTCTTTGATCTATCCTCTTCATTTTCTTTCTCCTTCATTGAGAACGATGCCAGCGACTGTAAGCTGCTTCTTCTTTCTTCCTTCTCTGGCTCGTGTTTGGTCTGATTGAGAACCAGAGAAATTGGTGTTCAGGAGCTTTAAGCTCTCGATCCAGTCACCTTTGTCCTCCATCGTTCAGCTCACCGTCAATAAGAGTAGGAGGTCTGCTCGCCGCTGCTGTGACGTTCGCTGAGAACCACTGCGTCGAGGCACAGATCGCAAGTCTATGGCTCCCCTGTTCAGCCTTGTTGATATGTGAAGGAGGTTTGTGTGCTGATCTTCATCCCTCAAGTGCATTAGTGAGTTAAGATTCCATTTTCTTTCCCCTGTTAGTAGTGCGTAAGTGTTGATTGGAGTGTTGGCTTATCTGTGATTTTAATTTCCTCCTTGGTCTAGACTATTATACGGTAGGAGGTAACTTGGAGAAATTCTAGTTAATTAAATTGAAGTTTTTGCAACCTTTAAGTAAGTGTTTATGCTATTAATGCTTTAGGGCTGTTAAAAGAAAAAAATGAATTTAATCATTCTTTTGAGAATTATAGTCATTCTATGATCGACATTGAAAAATGAATTTGAATTTGAATAAGAGGTTTGGTAATAGTTTGAGGTTTATTGCTCACAAAGTGTTTGATAAAATGATTAAGAGAGAGAGTTTTATTATATAATGGCATGATACATATGGTGATTATATATTGTTGGTTGGTGTTGAAGAAAATGATTGGTATGAGATTTGGATAGAAGAGCCTATACTTTTGATTTAAAGATTAGATGCTTGATGGAATGTTTGTTAGAGGGGGTTGCTTGATTTTGTATTTTTAGAGATTTATTAGATCTCTTGGGAGGCATAATTGACTTGGATGCTATTATTTGTGTATTGAGCTGGGTATTATATAGAGATTGGCTTGTGAAGTTATTTGTAAACTATTTGAATTTTAAAAAAATTTGTGGTTATTAATGAATTGTTGGACAAGAGATTGAATGTTAGAAAGTTTTAAATTAAGTGGTTGGAATATAAAGTATTTGATGCAAAGCCCAAGAGAGAATTATATCTCAATGAATAGATTGGCATAGCTAAAGTGATATAGAGGAAATTAGTGATTTAAATGGTGATAATGGGGCAAATTCTAAGATATGAATTTCTGTTTTGAAATCTCAAATAGTGGTAGTAAATTGGGATTGTGTTAGAGGTGAAAAGAAATTTTTATAAATTATAAAAAGAATTAAATTAATTAAATTTTTATTTACTCATATTCTTATAGGACATTTGGAGGAAGAGAAACATGATAGGAGTTAACGGAGTGAGTTTTAGAACCTGAGAGCATTGCAGGTAAGTGGATATCATCTTAACTAATTATCAATAAAATTATTTTTCTAAAATACTATGTTTTTATGTAGATTATTTTAATAACAACTTGTTAAGTTTGAGATATTATGTTATTTAAATTTCTTTATCTTGTGAAATTATTTTTGTCAGCTTGATAATTCTAGTTTGTCAATAATGCAAGTATGAAAATTAGTTGTAAAATTTTATTCTGGCAAGTTTTAATGCTTAAAATAATTTATGCGAGTTTGACTTTGAAAATGCAAATTGTATTTTTATAATAATGATTTTCTCACATGTTTGAAAATGGATTTAGAAGAGATTTTATGCAAAACACTAGTTGCTAATAGCAGCTCCGTTAGCCTTTGGCACATCATGGTCAATGACTAGCTAGTTTTATTTTTGTGAGCTCTATTCTCACGTTTGTTATTCGTGGGTCTCATACTCACGTTCGTTTCGTGGCTCAAGTCACATTTGGTTAGCATTACTCTCGTGAACTGTGTATTCACGTTTATGAATTGTTCTGATAAATCCCCAGAAATATGAATTTTTAGTTAATTGGTGATTTCATATTTAATGGTTTTCAATTAGTAAATATTGTTATTTTTATTTATTATTTAATTATTTAGATTTGTAAAGATCAAATGTTAAAGCTGATTTGTCATTATATATTTAAATGTTGTTATTATTGAAGTTATATGGAACTTTTATTTCAAGTTGACAAATTACTTATATTGAATTGCTTTCTCACATAATTTATATAATTATTGCATTTTATTCATTGTGATTCTACAAAATATTATGATTAGGATGTTATTCATTGGAAAGCGTAGCTGATGCTGCATGTCCTGCTTCCCAATGAGGGATTTTTACTGAGCTTGGAACAAATCTGTAAATATTTCCTATTGATGTAAATATGAATTTATGAATTATATCATGAAAAATATGATTATGTGCTCCACATAGGCTATAGCTAGGGTTCTGATTCTTTTTATTACATTGTCTATCTGTTGCTGAGGAATAGAGCTTTGTATTGTTGTATATAAATTGTAAAATTTCTATTATAGAGATCTTTGGATACTACTTACAGGAGAGAAGCTGCCAAAATTTTTATAAAAGGTTTGATAATTTTGATTATGTGAGAAGTAAAATTAGATATATATATATATATATATATAATCAGGTTGATTGTAAGTCAGATATATTAATTCCAAATTCTCCTTAATTGAGGCTTTAAGGAAGTGTGTTTGTGCATATATCTCATGCCGGTTACATTATATATTAGGGTGTGACAATAAATTTTATAAAAAGATGAAAGATTTTTGTTTTTCGTCAACAAAAAATTTCAAAGAAAATCTATAAAATAAACCACGACTGAAAAATGAAAATGGCCAATTTCTTATCATTCTATGTAATGATGGCTTGTGTGAAATATATGTATAGCCCACTCGAAGCATTTAAACCATATGATTTTAAAGTATATTACAAATACAGTCATTCAAGTGAAGGACTTGGAATCTATCTGTACTAGTTGGTGTTCAAGAACAAAAATGAGAACTGATTTTAAAGTAATCATATGATTTTATTACTATGATTGACCTGAGCACTCGCAGAATTAAACTGACGAGACATTTTCTTTCACTCAAAAAAAAAAAATTGTAATGAAATACATTATTCTAATTAACATGGAGCAACTCACTGGCAACTAAATAGGTACATAGATAGATAAATGCCAATTATATATTGTGACTCCATTTTTTTGCTGCCCCAAGCCTGCCAATTATTTAATTTATTCAAATATTGTCATGCTCATCTCTCTTCCAAATATATATTTATGACATGCCCATAAATAAAGAAACATGCATGTTATATATAGACAATTTGTTTTTGAAATGAACCAGGCGGGATATTATAGAAGCTAAAAAATAATACACAATTTATTGGCCGTCATGATTATGAAGAATTACAAAGTTGAATCTTTATTCCAACCAAGGTGATCTACCTGAACTAAGAAAATTGAAAAGAAAAAGAAAAGAAAATTTTCACACATTCACTAATTAACCTGGTTTATATAAAAGTAAAAAAGAATAATCCCACGAATTTAATTACTAATTAGAAAGTTGTACGAGAACTTTAGACCTACTACTGAAATAAGGAAATGACAGAACATATTGTCTGAATTAAAGTGAGGAAAAGTAGCAGAATTGCAGCAACAAAAGAAGCAATCTTCCAGGGGCTCGACAAGTAATCATGCCTAAAGTTTGCTTTATACTTGTGACAAGGGTTATTATAAAACTCGTTCAATTTCTTAAAGACGATGATATACTCACGATTGTAACTTGTTGAGACAACATTTCTGCAGAGGCGATTAATCATGGAAGCCACTGCATTGTTGTCACTCAAAAAGTTCTGTATGATTCCCTTTTGAACAAGCATTTCAACATCTTTTTCAGTGTTAACAAGATGATCCCAGAGAATCATATAATCAGTCACGCAGCTTGAAAATGGATGGTGACACTGCTCAAATGCAATCACATTTCTGATCATAGTCTCAGTCCGATCATGTATCGGAAAGCATGGTATTGTCAGCACTCCATTTGAAAATTCTACCTTCATTATGCTTATGTTTTTTTGTTTGCTAGCCTTGAATTTAATTCCTGATAAAGAAGTCCCACATCTAGAAATTAAAAAATAGATTAGGAATATATAAAGCTTAGGCTGTGTTTAATTAAATAACTTAAACTATTTTGATAAAATAAACTTCCCTCATTCATGCTTAATATAAAAAGTTTAATTGAATATAGTATCATATGCCATTCAATCGAGGATAAATAAAAAAAAAATTGAGAAAAAGAAAAAAGGAATGAAAGATTGGAAAAAAAAAAAACAAGAGATTAGAAAGAAAGATAGAGAAGAAGGGAAAAATTTTGATTAGACTTGAAGCTTTTGAACAAGCCCAGACAAGAAGGTAAAAAAAAAAAAAAAAAAAACCAAGAAAAAGAAAAGAAGTATAGGGAATATTATAGAAAGAACTCAAAGCAGAAATTCAAAGATAGATTAAGAATATATAAAGCTTAGGTTATGTCTAACGCAATTGCTTTATATATTTCTAGTATGTCTTTTAATTTATAAACGTGAGACTTCTTTATCTCTAATACCTGCTTCGCGTAGTTGGCTTGTACTACATATAGGCTTCACAGATTTGTCAAATTCTCTTCCGGGTAATTGACCTAGCAAGTAAAACATCCTTAGCATATCATTCAAGTGATAGACTTGTAAACGACGACCAGCTCTAGTTGGTCGGTTGAGGCAGTGTTGTTCAAAATTGCTGAAGCTAAGATGCGACTTGCTTGGAACTGTATCTCCCAGAAAATTATTCTTGAAAAACTTGAATGCAAGCTCAACAAATGAGTTTATTTTTTTGAAGCCAATGGGATGAGCTAGATTGAATATGTCCTCAAGAACAAAAAATGGCAACTGGTTTTCTAGTAAAAGCAAGTCTAGCTTTATATACTCAGTTGGCCATGGATTCTTGACCAAAGGATCTTCTTCTGATGGACCTGTTAACGAAAGAAAGAACTCAATGATGAAGCAAGAATCAATGATAATCATGTTCACGAATTCATCGCTTTCCATGTGACTGGTCTCTGAGTAACAGTGTCGAATTTTAACTTCCTGGTCTCTCAATGCTTCAACATAATCATGTAACAGATTGTTCTGAGTTCTCCTGAGGAATTTTTGGAGGTAAAATAATTTAAGCTCATGCATTGATTGCAATCTTTGGACTTTACCATGAAATGGGCCAATGGAAATCAAGGTAGGAGTGTATGCTTCTTCATTCTCTTTTCGAAGTTTTGGTGGCACTCGATAGATAGAGCAGCCTGATGATAATGGAAGATGCTTGTCCTCTGAAATTCCTAACTTGGCCATCAAAGATTCTAACGAAATAGAGTGTTCTTCCATTAATGAAACACTCTCTTGTGACTCCGTTCTCTTCATTTTTCGACGCACCCGCTGCAAAAAGTACTGACGAAACTATGTAAAGAAAAGGTTATAATTCACCGATACTTCCAAAAGAAAATGTGCACGTACAAATTTTAATATTTTATATATAGAAAAAATAAGCATAGCTGAATTCTTATTTTGATTTGTTAGTCATCATGCAACACGTCCTTTATGTTAAATCCTCATTTAAACACATCACTTTAACACTTTCATTACATAACTAGTGATGTGGTTCAAGTGAAACAGAAATTGAAACTTAAAAATTAAAATTTACAAGTGAGTCCCTGAGAGCTGCCATTCTATCTTTTCAATACACTTGCAGGATTTATGCTCAACTGGGCTTAGTAAAATACTTAACTCAATCTTGTTCTTGAATTTCTAAGTCTAAAATTTGGGATATTACACTTTGTATGCTTAAAGGAACACAATCATTTTTAAAGTTTGAATGAGTCTGCATGCATGGTACAATGATAGGTAACCAGAACATTTGTAAATATTTCTAACAAAAAATGGACCAAAAAAAAAATCTATAGAATATATGGTTAAATGACAAGAAAACCACTAAATTATGAGTCTAAAAGTATTTGAGACCTTAAATTCATTTTTGGTATAATATTTTCCTTCAACTTTTGAAAATAGTGCAATGTCTCCCTCTAATACTATTAACAAAAGTTAACTTTAACAATTAATTAATCAAAAATGACAAAAAAGGAACTCAAAAATTACAAAAAAGGACCAAGAACATTTTCTTGATCATTTTCTGTAATTTTTGGGTCATTTTTTTATAATTTTTTATCATTTTATGTAAGTTTTGTTCTTTTCTATCATTTTTAAGTCAATTAATGGTCAAATTTAACTTTTGTTAATAGTAGGGGCAATATTGCACTACTTCAAAAGTTGAAGGAAAATATTACAATAAAAATGAGTTTAGAGTTCTAGATATTCCTAGATTAATAATTTAGGGGTAATATTTATCCTTAAATATATTGAATCTATCATAGTCAAGCTATATTGCTATAATCGTTAGCTAGCCAGCAGTTATAAAGTTTTCACGCCTGCTGACTAGCATCATATTAAACTGACCACCACGCTAGCTGCCACATTGTTTATTATGATCAAATCCCTCTTCTAATAAAATAAATACATAAATAATAAACAAATTATTCCAATGAACTTCTAGTTATTCTGCGCAGGCTTACACAGAAACTTTGGTCCACACAATTCTGATTGAGAAATGCATGGAATTAATGGAAGAGGAAAAACAACACAAAATTAAAAATTAGCGAAGAAAGTATATATTAGGAGAGATAACTAACCTATTCTTTGATTTTGATTGATGTAGCCAGGAAACTGAACTGTCGTATAGATAATCCTCAAATATAACAACACTTATCCTTGTTTTCTCCGTGGAACCACCAATACCATATTCTGATTTATACACGAGATTGAATAATTCTTTGACAAGGTTGTTCAGAATCTCCACTCTTTATTCATCTCTCTCTTCTTTGATAAGGAAAAAACCGAAAAAAAAAAGTACTGAATCGTTTTTGTGAGTGATAGGCTAATAATGTGATTATTAATTTAATGTGCATTGCTTCTATTAAAGAGATATTTTTCTCAAATGCACATCTTTCCTGCCAATCTTTATTTTGGAGAAAAGGTTCTTAGCTTTTGCTCCTGTATTGCACTAGATTTAGTTCTATCTATATAATAGTTTTTAAAATGTATTGTTAAATATTTTTATTTGAAATTGTGTCTTTTAATTTTAAAGTGTAAAAATATTAAAATTGAAAAATTAAACTTTAAACGATTTGTATATGTGGTCATTTTCCAAGGGAAAGACCTTTCATTCCTCTGCACGAATTCCAAATTACTTGTTGATTAGATATCCACGATTCTCAGGCAAAGTATATATGCGTGCGTGAGTGTTGTGAGCCTATATTCTCTTTCCTTTTTTAACCTTCTCTTTGTTATTTATTCTTTTCTTTCTTCTTGTCTCCTTTCTTTTTCCTTTTCCTACTAAGAAGCATGATTATATGCCAAATTCTCTACAGTAAAAGTTGTCAAATATTGTGACTCGATTTTTTGTTATATACATCTTTGCCTCATATTATTTATTATTAATCACATTTTCTGTTCATATAATCTAAACCAGTCAACTATGCAATGACATTTGTGAGATAGACTCAATTGAATATTACTTACCTTAATTAATATACTTGGTATTCTTAGAACCCCCTTTGAATATAGATCCTCATCAGCTAACCTTCTGTATTTCTTAACTCAGAAATTTAATGCCGGACTCATGCAGTTCGACTCACACTATATGAACCCTTCAATTTTCGAGAGGTTTTCTTGGCAGTGATAAATTGGTAAGCAAAATATTCTTAACAATCCAAATGTGTATCACTTGGTTTGGAGAGGAATGAAGACTTCCGAATATTTGGAGTGTCAGAATAAGGTAATATCAAGTGATGAAGGTACACTGTTTAGTCTAGCTAGTGGGAAAAGCTTTGTAGATTCAAGAACAAAAAAAATATGGTAATTGATTTGCAAGTAAACCAAGTCTAGCATTATGTTTGTCACGCTCTAAAAATAGAGAGTGACTGCGGATGAACATATTACATATTCTCTAAGCCTTAAATTAAGAAATCATTCCATTTCTAAAACATAATTAAATTTATATTGAAATTATAATATCCTTAATAATATATATACATTATAACAAAAGTTTTAATATTTTTGTAGAAATTTAGACAAAATATTCTCTGTAAATAGGAACTCTTAAAAATTTTACAATGCATTGTTTTACACAGAATATCATATCAATCAGGTGCTTAGCTCTTTCGAACGAGTAGATAGAGTATATAACAAAATAAAGACTCTAGCTATAACCTATGTGAAGTACCTAATAAATTTTTATAATATAACACATAGATTTAATCGTTACATCAAAAAAGGATATTAGCAAAATAATTATCCACACAACTAAATAGTATGCCCTTAGTGGTCAGTAGGAGGTTTAGCATCAGCTAATTTATCTGAGACTAAAAATAATTTTCTAATAAATAACATTCCAATAATACATAAATGAAAAAGAATAAAAAGAATAAATTGCAATGATTGTATAAATTGAAGAGACAACAATCTTCATATGAAATATTTAATAAATTTCAGAATTAAGAGGCTCTATATAGCCTTAAATAAAATCTTGAACCATTATTTCCCCAAGAAAAAAAATCTTAAACCATTAAATTATCGCATCAAATATTATTTTCACTTAATTTCAAGAAAACACAAACAAAATATATAAATTACAGTAACATCACTAATTAAAATCAATAGAATATGAAATCACCAAATAATCAAAGCTCATATTTTTGGTAACTTATCAAAACAATTAACAAATATGGACATACAGTCTATGAGGATAAAAAATCAAATACGACTTATGCCATAATGGAAAATGTGAACACATAATCAATGAGGGTAAGTGACCAAATGCAGTTTGAGCTACGAAACAAATGCAGACATATAGTCTGCAAGGGCAATACTAACTAAACGAGACTCAAAAGCACAAGAACAAATTCAAGTATTAAACCCACAAATAACAAACGCGAGAGCAATGCACCAGGACTACCAAAACTATCGTTAGCAACTAGTGTTTTATATAAGATCTCCTCCAAATCTATTTTCACACATATGAGGAAATAGTTACTATCAAAATACAACTTTCATTCTTACTAGCAAATTTGCATGAATCATTTCAAGCATCAATTTAACGTTTTCTGGAATAAAATTTTATAATTAGTGTCCATGCCAACATTTATTGATTAATAAAAAATTAACAAAGCTAGTGAAATGATTTCATCCATTTGAAAGTTTATCTCACAAGGAACAAAACATTCATATGCCACAATTTAATTGTTCTTCACCATCATCTTATAATTTTGAAATAAAATAATTTAATTAATAAAGTATTCCAAAATTCAACATAATTGTTATTAAAAATATAAAGATATAATATTTCAATAAAAATAATTTTGTTGATAAATCAGTTGGGACACTATTCATTTACTTGAAATACTCCCAAAATTAAAAAATTCATCTCTCAACTTCAATTAAATTTTTCCTCTTCTAAACATCCTAAAAATTACATTGAGATTTTAAATAAACTTTCAATAAATTCAATAATTTCCTTCCAACGTTATCACTACCAAAATTTAGTGATAATAAACTTGAAATTTTTAAACAAAATTTTTACACATAAAAGTCCCTGAAAAGTCACAGCTAACCACCCCATTAAAATACAACATCCTCTTAGTCTTTCTGTCAAAACACCAAATGTACATTAATTTCAAATCCCATAATAAAGCTTTTTGACAATCAAACTTCTTACATAATTCCAAGAATTTGACTAGCTACACATTACCTTCATAATCAAATTTCTACACGATGCCAATGCCAAGCTCAATTGACAAGATAATGGTAGCCAGACCAATTATGTCTTTCAAGAGATCTAATAAAATTTTAGTAAATTCAAATTCAAGTAAAACTCTTTTAATGGGTATTTTATCGAACTCCTTATGGCCATTAATCCTTAAAATAGTACCAACCTTTTCCTTTTCAACTTCACTTCCAAATTTCACTTCCAAAAATTTCACAATATCAATATTGTAATTAATAATCAAATCAAACTTAATTAGAACTCAAACCCACGTCATCATTCTCTTATTCTTAGTACTAGGATTTCAACTTAACTCAGTTTTTCCCTTCAAACTCAAAGACGCATGGCAACACAAGGAGAAGAAATTTCAGTTGCAACCATTTTAGTATTCACACGCACAGGACCAACAATGAAAAGAAAATTACCAGCAACAACATGAATAGAGGAGGAGAAAAGAAGGGGTCGACGACGCTGCACAAGGAGGACGATTTCACTAACATACCTCCAACAAGAAACCCAGCTTCTTGCATGCTTCACTACTCACTAATAGACTTAGATCACAACAACAGAAGTAGGAAAAAACAAGAAGCTCACAGTACAAACTCACGGAGTGCGAGCAGAAAGAATGACAGTGAACCAGGGGAGAACTCATGGTACATTATCACAACAGTGATGGAAAAAGGCGGCAAGGAAGGCCTAAATACTTGCACGATTTCACAGATGGTGTAGAAGGAAGAATGACATGGAACAGGGGAGAGCAAGACAAGCAGATCGATGCACTTCCCACAATGGAGATTTCAGCATTCTCGAAGTCGCTGGCGACGAGTTGAGCGACAGAGATGACAGCGGAGGACGAAGGTGGTTGGACGAGGGTTCGAAGCTTCTGGTACAAAATTCTCAAGTTCTCTCCACAAATCAAAACTCATGCACAAATTGGAAGAAGAGAGAAGGTAAAAAAGTTTGATGGGAGAAGTTAGGGCAGAATGGTCATTTATAAGGTATGAGAAAAAAATAAAACTCCACTATATGCGCCAAGAGGATTCAAACTCAAAACTTAATAGTTAGTTGGTTGACACTATCTCCCCTAGGCAACCAATCCTTCCTATTAAATTTGTTCCAAAATGAATAAAAATGCCATCAAAATGACTCATCATAGATTTTGTTTTATTTCACTCTTCATTATATGTGTGTGTGTGTGTATCTTAAACAAAATTTTCTGGGTTATTAAAATTTCCCCTATCGGCCCTGTTGATTTCTTCTCAAAAGGATCACTTGCTGACTCACCTATGAGCTCAAAAGAAAGCTCAACGAGTTAACAAGCATCAATTAAATTCATGCTTACAATTCATTGGTTCCTTTAGCATATATATGTTATCCATTTAACATTAAAAGTTTGTTGAGCTACCAGAATTTTAGTTGTTGCTTTGAGACTTCTTTAGTCACCTTTTCATGTCTTGGTGGCAGCGTTCATGATTCAAGGCTATACATTGCTGCCATTGATTGTTCAAATCTTCTTTTGAATGTTTGAACCAATCTCTAATTAAGGAATATTACAAATTGATTGATGATTGTAAATCTTTGACTCTGATAAAATAATGGACAAAAATAAGGTAAATCGAAGGCTAGACCAAATAGTTAAAATTATTGATAACTAAAATAAGATGTATGTGGCCTTGCCTGTGTGGTGGTCCTTACTCCTTGTAGTAAACGGGTTCCGATCTTTTTATTATTATTATTATGTAATGAACATAAGTTTAAAGGGAGAATCCATGTCAAAAAATTAACCTAATTAGATGAAAGAGTCTCTTAAACTCATAAACTCTTTTCTCATGAGGGTCCTTGAGATGTGGGACTAATAATAATAATTCACTCCACTCCATGGCACAATAAAAGTACTAAGGAAAGTAACAATGTAATGAGTGCAAGTCCAAATAAAAAATACATCCC